CATGCAAGCAAAATACTGTTGAAGATCATTCAAAAATGGCTAGAACAGGATATAGACAGAGACTTGACAGATTCAAGCTGGATTTAGAAGAGGCCATAGAACCAGGGATATCACTGCTGATGTCAGATGAATCCTGGCTGAAAGAAAATACCAAAAGAATGTCTATTTGTGCTTTATTGATTATTCAAAGTCATTTGACTATGTGGATCATAACAAATCATGGCTAACATTGAGAAGAATGGGAATTCCAGAACACTTAATTGTGCTCATGTGAAACTTATACCTAGACCAAGAAGCTGTTATGTGAACAGAGCAAGGGAACACTGCATGTTTTACATTTAATAAATGTGTGCATCACAGTTGTGTCCTCTCCATACCAATTCAATCTGTATGCTGAGCAAATTATTCGAGAAGCTGGACTCTACGAAGATGAATGTGGCATCAGGTTTGGAGGAAAACTCATCAGTAACCTATGTTATGCAGATGAAACAATTCTACTTATTCAAAGTAAAAAGAACTTAAAGTCCTTGCTGCAGAAGATCGGAGAATTCAGCCTTCAAAATAGATTGCATTTGGACACCAAGAAAAAAAAAATTCTCACCACTGAACTGATAGGCAATATCATGATAGAGAAAAGATTGAAATTGTCAATAACTTCCTTTTTCTTGGATCCACAATCAATACCTTGGGACCAGCAGTCAGGACATGAGGCATACTGCACTGGGAAAGTCTACAGTCACATTTGCTAAATTACTGAAGAGCAATGACGTCAGTTTGAGGACTAAGGTGCACCCTGATTCAGGCCATTGGTCTTTTCAATCATTGCTATGCATCTGAGGGCTGAGAAATGACTAAGGATGATAGAAGAATTGATGACACTGAGTTGTGGGTTGGAGAAGAGTACTGAATATCCTACGGACTGCCAAAAGAGCAAACAAATATGTCTCAGAGAGGGTGCAGCCAGAGTGCTCCTTAGAGGCAAAGATGATAAAGCTTCGTCTCTCATCCTTGGGGCATGTTGCTAAGAGAGGCCATTCCTTGGAGAGGGGCATCATGCTTGGAAAGGTGGAGGGTCAGGGAAAGAGAGGAGGACTCTCAATCAGACAGGATGACACAGGTGACTGCAGCAGTGGGCTAACGGGTGTCAGAGATTAGGAGGTGGTCCCAGGATAGGACAGGGTTCAGATCTGTTCATAGGGTCTTTACGGGTTGCACTTGACTGGACAACACCTAACAGCAACAATAATACCACCACGTACGTAGCTCAGTGGCACCTGGATATGTAGTTTTACATGTAAGAAGTCTATGAATCGACATTTACAGTATATGTGGAGTTCACTGTATCGTAGGGAGCTGTGGTGGCCTAGCGGTAAGGGATTGTGCTGCCAACGCAAAACTGCCGGGTTTAATAAATCCACCAGCTGCTCCATGAGAGAAAGATGGGCAATATCGTCATGTGCAATTTCCAGCTTCTGAAAACCTACTGGAGGGTCAGCTACTGATTGGTTCTGACTCAGTGGTACCTAACAAACTTTACTACGTCATATTTACACACATATATCTCTCTCATTGTCATTGACTTGGAACTGACTCAGAGCTAACCCTCCAGGGAGTTTTCAGCGGCTGGAAATGTCACAGAAGTAGACTGCTCATTTTTCCTCCCAAAAAAGCAGACGGTGGATTTGAACTGTCTGCCTTTGGGTTGGCAGTGTAACTCTTTCCTTACCCACTAGGCCCCAGAGCTCTTCACTTTTGACTAAGATCATGTGTAGTGTGTATGTATATAGACTGTTTTTGTTTGTTTGGTTTGTGTTTTTTTTTTTTTTACATTAGAAACAAAACAGAAAAAACTGGATAAATTATGTAATTGTATTGAAACAGATGAGGGAAAGAACAGATTAGAAGTGATATATGATTGAGTATTATGGTTAGCACAGGAATCCAGAATTAAGGTTGCATAGAGAAGTGTACTGGGGTG